TGATCTAGTCCTCGGCAGTTCCGGAGGATACAGTCAAATTCACCTCTTTTGTAGCCAGACAAGGTAACAAAATACATTAGTATTTTTTCCAACTCATTTGTTTCAGCAGATTGTCACTTCGTCTTAACAGCCGACAGCGGAACAATTCACACTCCAAATTTCCCAGACAAACACCCCAACGATATCACATGCATCTGGAACATAAAAGTTCAACCTGGACACTTCATTTTACTTTCCTTTCACGTCTTTGATCTGGAAAGTTATAGAGGAAAATGCATTGATCTTGTGGAGGTTAAGGATGGAGGTAGACAAACAGACGAACTTCTCGGTGAGTATGCAGGTTATACGCTGGGGCAGGTCTCTCTTGACTGCAGCAATTATCGGACAGCACCAAGCAGCTAGCGCTAGGAGTAATTAAGAATACGTATCGGCGTATCACTCCCCCCCGGGGTATCACTATGGTACATGTACAGTTAAAGGTGAGAAATTTATATGTTTCGGACCAACACAAATGTCCTTCACTCAATCTCGCAAAAACACTTTCTATATTTTGTTTGTTTTTGCATGAAAACTATTTTTCAGCAAAAACCGCAGCCCCTTATGGCGCGTTGATTTTGGTTACAATTTTGATCAATAACGTAGTAAAAACGCAAAACAGACACCACATAACAGCTGATGATTATCCCCAAATCTGTGTTTTTTAAGAGTATTGCTATCGTCTTAACTGTTTCGATTTTCATTGTTATATTAAAGGTAAGATTCGTGTCTTTATTACATGCAGGTGCTTTCTGTAACATTAATCAGCCGCCAAACGTTATCACATCCAGTAAAAATGAATTGAGGCTTTGGTTTTATTCTGACAAGACTGACGCTTACCAGGGATTCAATGCTTCATACACAAGCCAATGGGAGCAAGGTACTAGCGACCAAAATCGTGATATGAAAAGAATACAGGAATTTGCAAACCCTAGAAGAAATGTTTTCCTACAAGTGACCGATGTGGTTTACCCGGCCTGAAGTGATAAACTAGCTGATAAACAGACAGAAACCCGAAATTCGCAGAGAATTTCTTCAACTTTAGTTGAGCTGACAGCAGCGTACTGAGCAGTAAAAGCAATTACAAATTAACCAGAAAAAAATTTTAGGTTTTAATAGGATGCAAAAATACGGGGAGTCAATTTGTATGTTGGTTGAAATAATTGAAAGTCACCTTCCATTACCAAGTCTCCTTTGCTTTATTAACAGGTTGTGGAGATTTTTTGTCAAAAAGTTCTGGAATGATTTCATCCCCTCGATTTCCCGATTATCCATATCCAAACTCCATACAGTGTGACTGGACCATTATTGTACCACGTGGTAAATTCATTCGTCTCGCTTTTTCTACGTTTGAGGTGGAATTTGATTGCAACGACAAATGTTGGTGTGTAGATCGCTTGGAATTATGGGATGGACCCGAATTCAATGAGACCAAGATAGGGAGGTAATAAACGAGCTTGTTCCCAGAGTCCTCTAACCCTACCCCTTATGGGTTACTTGGCAGATTGTTCGAAATGAACAAGTCCCCACCCCGCCAAGTTAAAATAACATGAAGTTATTGTAACTGATCAATAGAGAATCGTCCTTTAAACAACCACGCAGCATGACACAGAACCGACAATAGATAATAATAATACTACTAATAATAATGATAATAATAATAATAATAATTAAAACTTGTATAACGCTCATCCAATCCTGCTCTAGGCGCTTTTCACAATGACATTCCAAACATTCGCCCTCTTCCCTGATTCTCTCCCATAATAATAAAGCAGCTCTCCATGGCTGCTACTGTCGAGATGATAAAGTGGCTACGCAGCATGCGTTAAGGTGGATTTCTACTATCGCGTAAGTTTTTCTTGCAGACACACGTAACTTTTACGAGCGTAAAAATAGAGGCAATGTATGAAAGGTCGTGCGTAAACGTAAGAGTTGCACCTCGCTCAACTTTCACGTTTACTATTTACGCACGTAAAATTTACGTGGGTACGCACGACAAAGTTATACCCAAAAGTGGAAATCCACTCAAAGTTACTGCGGTTCACACGTAGGTTTTATCGATTAATGAGAGCCTTTTATTTTCCTCTTCAGTTTATGTAGGTCTGCTTTTCCACTGATTATGTCAAAAACCAACCGGGTAAGACTGAGGTTTATAACAAACGCAGAAGGACGCTTTAAAGGTTTCTCGCTGTCATTCACCACCTCTATCACTCCAGGTGGGTGAAAAAAAAATTTTTGTATTATATTTACTATACTGTAGAATTCTTGCACTCAAAATGTACTAGGTACTATATGTATATATATATGTATCTTAAGATTATTGGTGTAAGCAATTACCTAAACAAAGCGGGCACTTGTCTCTGATCCAAGAGTGTCCGTCTCAGGCCGCCTTGACATGAATCCCATCATGTACATTTGCGTTTTTCGTCAACCTACACGAAAACGATAAACAGGTGGATTAAAAAACGACACTTTGGGGATCGTTATCGTATAAACCTGCGTTTTTTATCCCTGAAAAAAAGCCGTTTATGTGAGAATAGAGGAGAGAATAAAAGCAGAGACAACCATCTCCGTTTTCAAACATTTTACATGAATATCCAGATGCGTACGTGCGGGGCCTCAGTGTTTGAAGTAATAACCCTGGATTAGAGTGTCCGTAAAGTATATATCATCCAAGTATCTTTGAGGAATTTGACTGAATCCGCTTATATATATTAGGTTTCGGAGGTTTAAAAGAACGGTCATCTGATTTGTTTCAAGAACCATTTATGTTTGTATTTTCAGATTGTGGTGGCGATATTTCAGGATTGAGTGGAATAATTACATCTCCTAATTATCCCGAGTCATTCCCCGCGTTTACTGATTGCATCTGGCGTATTAAAGTGCCAGCTGACCGGTACATATCATTTAGATTTGAGGAATTCAAAGCCATCGATGGAACCAACCCTGAATGTTCAGCTGACTCTGTTGAAGTGAGCGAAGGCTACTCGAAGAAGGCTCAGGTTATAGGTAATTAATGTTACTATATCTTTATTAACCAAAAGATTTTAAGGATATATATTATAAATAAACAAAAATTAATGCTGTCGTGGAACATTTTTATCTGACATTCATAGGTTTGAGAAGCATAGTTTTCACAGGAATATTTAAATTTGTTTGTCTGTTTGTGTTTTATCCTACGCAAGGTGTGTTGTGACAACCGCTGCAAACAAAAGTGGGTGAAAAATATCGAAATTGCCACGGAAACAAATAAACAAATCCACCGCTATAACAACACAGAGAATACTAGGTTTAACAATAAAATGACATGACCTCATGCAATGTCTAGTTGTCATTTTTAACAACACGTAAGTAAACCTGGAACTGAATGACGTGTAGGATAAAAGATTTCTCAAACATTTAATCTTTTTTTTTTTTTCAGGACGTTATTGCCTCCAGAGCATTCCTCCTGTTATAGTAAGCAGGGGCAATGAATT